GGTGCCCATGTCCAGCAATTATTGTGCGAGGGGCGGGGTACACCCTGGACAGGTCGCAAGTCCATCACAGGGCTCATTTAGTTTCAGTGAAACTTAAAAGACAACTCTCATTTTGTTAAAGCAAAATGTAGTGAGTCACGTGGGTACGTGTCACTTGTTGTATGACAAATATATGAAATATATTTATGCATACTTTTCACGAGTTCTTCATTTTTCTGACTGTGTAATGCCGTGCATTGAATTTAACAGAAATGTAACGAGAGACGTTATTACCTTTGACCCATCAAATGAATGGAGTCATTTATTTTCAGAATCAAAGTTTAACATCAAACATTTACATTAATTTGGCAAAATATGAAAATAATAACAGACAGTTTCACAGAAAATGAACTTCAAATCACTCGGCGGTGATTTGAGGACTTTGCTTCAGATATTTCTAAAAATATCTGTACTGATTTATGAGAGAGAGGTGAGTTTAAGAGGAAATTGAGATTTATCTTACAGAGGAATATGTGAGGGAATTTAATCTGTTTAACCAGAAATTGCACGCTCCGTCAGGTATCTCAGCTTGTCCCAGGTACACTTTAGTCGAAGAAGAAACCGTTACCTTGTTGACGATCGATCACCTCAGTAAGAATCCTTTTCAACTGATATCAGCGTCTCCGTTGAGAACAGCTAAAATCCTTGGAGAGTCGTGCGTGGTTAGCTCAAAACAGAATCATAATCCCAAAACGTCTCTGGATTCTAGTAACTCTGACTCTTCATTGTCAGCAGCTCTCAGACTCTTTCTCCAAAACTCTCCATAACTCTAGTTTTCTTCTGAACTCCTTCAGAACTTTTTCATTCTCGGAATCTTTTCCATTCTCTTCTCTTCCAACTCTCCATAACTCTCTAGACAGAACCGGGAAGTTGTCACATTTTAAATGAGTTTACTTCCGAGTTTACTTCAGAGCTTTCTGATTCGTGGATGGACCAGAAAGAGGAGTGGTTTTGACGTAAGTTGTTTATCAAAAGTCGAGGTCAGAGAATGAAATTGTTTTCAACTTACAGAAAAGATTATTGCAATCGACCAGACTTCGTGGAGTCTCACACTTGGTAATCTTTTCAAATAGTAAAACATGACATTTCTTCTTCAGTAAACATTTAGTTGACCGAAGCTTCAACTTTCACACACTTACGACTTGACTCATTTCAGACAGAAAATCAAGAAATGCATATTCAGGTGATTTCTTGTTTGAATGAGGAATAAAAATCATTACTTACTGTTTATGTAAAATAAAGATGAGTAGTTCTTTTCAACCTATAAGCATTGAGTGAACTAACACAATTTGATTATCAAAACATTTGTAAGACAGTAATGATTATAGAGGATTGTCTTTTCTGCTTGATTAATTCAAGAAAGAAAGTCATCAGATGGCCCAGACTTATTCAGATCAATGAAAATAACAGTCTCTGTCCATCTGGTAGATTTGAGGTCATCTAGTTCACTACAAAAACAATAAAGCTGGTATGATGCATTTATCACAGCCGATGCTCTTCTTTTACAGATAGTCCAATAGTTTTCAGTCACAAGAACAGTAACTCAGAAAGAGCTGTAGTTAATTCTGCACATTGAGTTTAGTTCGGTTTAAGAATAGAACTAGGGTTCAGCTTCTTTCCTGAAAGTGTTGTTCCTTCAAAATAATGACTTCATGTTTAAATCTGCACTCTCAGACTCGGCTGAGACATTAGTCGTCCTCACTGTTACATTTCACCTGTGGATCAGGTTCACAGTCTACAACTTATTGTTCCATGTAAGGCAGCGTATGAAGTTGACTCCATTTTTTTATATCTCAAGTTCAAATCAGCATTGATTGGGAAAACTAAAAATCTATAAAGAACTCATTTTGAGTATTTATTTTTTATTCCTTTAATATACAAACGATTGTCGCAGCCAGTTCCCACAGCGTCACATGTTAAAGTTTGCTGATGACTCTGTCATCCTGTCCCTTCTCAGCAGTGATGACAGACCCAGACCCTGGGCCTGTGGTCGTGGACTTCACTGAATGGTGTGAGTTTTCCTTTTTAACGTTAAATACAAGACAAATGAGATGGTCATTGCTTTTAGAAAAAAAACTCTTCAGTTGCCACTCCTGTAGTTATTAACAGTGAGGTTGTCAAGGTGGTGCAACAATATAAATATCTAGGAACTATTCTTGATGACAAACTGACCTTTGATGCACATATGAACTCACCAGAGAATGTATTTTTATTGGAAGCTCTGTGGTTTTAATATTGATTCTACTTTTGTGAGAATGTTTTATTCATGTTTTATTGAGTCTCTTTTAACTTTCATGTTCATCAGCCGCAGTCTGTCAGGATCCACAACTTCTCCCACACCACTCAGCACTGGCTCCCCTCAGGGCTGTGTGCTGAGCCCCCTCCTGTTCACTCTGCTCACATATGACTGTGCTCCTACCCATCCAGGGTGTCATATTGTAAAGTTTGCAGACGATACAGCGGTGGTTGGATGCATCACAAACAATGATGATGGCTACAGGCAGGAGGTGGAACACCTGAGAGCTGGTGCAGGAAGAACAACCTCCACATTAACGTGAAGAAAACGAAGGAGATTATTGTGGATTTCAGAAGGAGCAAACAGACCTACCCCCTCCTGCACATAAGAGGATCTGCAGTGGAAGTGGTCTCCCGTTGCAAGTATTTGGGTGTGCACCTGTATGACAACCTCAGCTGGGGCAACAACACTACCAGCCTGATCAAGAAAGCACATCAGAGACTCTACTTCCTCAGCTGGACTGGGAAGCTCAGTCCTCACCTCCTTCTACAGGTGTGCAGTGGAGAGCATCCTGTGCTCCAGCATCAATGTGTGGCATAGAGGCTGCACAGTTGCAGAAAGGAAAGCTCTGCAGAGAGTGGTGAAGGCTGCACAGAAGTCTGTTGGAGTCAGCCTCCCCACCATCACAGACATCTGCACCTACAGGAAGAGAGCCACCTGCATCATGAAGGACCCCACTCACTCAGCAAACACACTTTTTGCCCCGCTCGCCTCAGGCAGGAGGTTGAGGAGCATTAAGTGTAGAACCACTAGACTGAGGAACAGCTTCTACCTTGAAGCTGTTAGACTCATAAATTCCTAATAAGAAAAATCACTGTAATGCCACTTTAACTGGAGATTTGACACTTTATATGTGCTGCTGATTATCCATGCTGCTGATTTCTTACCTTAAGCTGTTATATTCATACCTATCTGCTCACAACAGACTCATGTTCAGGCTGCTGTTTAATGCACCCTATCATATTACATTATTATTGTTTAGCGTATATCTTAGATCCTTGTATACTGTTTCCTTTGTATAATTTATATTTTTGCTAGTTTTGGGTGTAACTGTAACTGAGACATTGAGTACACAATGTCGTTCCATTCAAATTTGGCCATTGTGCCAGTACCACATGTGATGTGAATGACAATAAAGTCACCTTGAACCTTGATTTGTTGGTTTGGACTTTTGACATGCTTTTGACAAGAACAAGAACAAACTCTCGGGAATTGTCAGGATGTGCAGCAAAACTGCAGACATAGCCCTACAGAACCTCACTGACCAACACAAGGCAACATCAGTGAACAAGGCAGGCTGATTCTGGCAGATCCTGATCACCTACTCCATGGTGAGTTCAGGTTGCTTCCTTCTGGATGCAGGTATCTGCTGCCCAGATGTACAACAACGACTGAAAAACTCATTCATCCCTGTAGCGATCAGGCTTCTCAACGAACAACAATGATTTCTGTTATTTTCTTGTCTAGTATGGATGTTTTATGTGCCTACTGATATTTTATTTATTTTAATGTGGATGTTTATAACTGACAACTAATGAAAACCCCAAATTCAGTATCTGAGAAAATTAGAATATTACATAAGACCAATTTTAAAAAAGGATTTTTAGAAAGGTGGGCAGCACGGTGACACTGGACCTCAATTCACGTGGATTTTGTGCCTCTTCTCTCTTCCTCCAGACTCTGGGACCTTGATTTCCAAAGTGAATTCAAAGTTTACTTTAATAAGAGAACATAACGTTGGACCACTCAGCAGCAGTCCAGTCCTTTTTGTCTTTAGCCCAGGGGAGACACTTCTGATGCCGTCTCTTGTTCAAGAGTGGCTTGACACAAGGAATGAAACAACTGAAACCTATGTCTTGCATATGTCTGTGAGTGGGGGTTCTTGAAGCACTGACTCCAGCTGCAGTCAACTCTTTGTGAATCTCCCCCACATTTTGGAATGGGTTTTGTTTCACAATCCTCTCCATGGTGCGGTTAAACCGATTGCTTGTACACGCTTTCCTACAACATCTTTTCCTTCCCTTCACCTCTTTATTAATGTGCTTGGACACAGAGCTCTGTGAACAGCCAGCCTCTTTAGGAATTACCTTTTGTGTCTTGCCCTCCTTGTGCAAGGTGTCAATGGTTGTCTTCTGGACAACTGCCGTCAGCAGTCTTCCCCATGATTGTGCAGCCTACAGAACTAGACTGAGAGACCATTTAAAGGCCTTTGCAAGTGTTTGGAGTTAGTTAGCTGATTAGAGTGTGGCACCAGGTGTCTTCAATATTGAACCTTTTATTCTAATATTCTGAGACACTGAATTTAGGGTTTTCATTATCAGTTATAATCATCAACATTAAAATAAATAAACAGTTGAAATATATCGGTCTGTGTGTAATGAATGAATATAATGCAAAAGTTTCACTTTTTGAATGAAATTACTGAAATAGATCAACTTTTTCATGATATTCTAATTTTATGACGAGCACCACATGTTATGACTGTTTTCCTCCCGCAGGCTGAGACGTTGGTCTTCGGGGCTCAGTCACCTGTAGATTACCAGCTAAACCAGTTCAAAGAGCTAGGCGGGCTCTTACACCCACCTCTGTGGAGTCCCGCGTGCATTATTTCGCCACTTCCCTCTTTTCCTCCTACAGTACAGACTATTATTGTACCGACAAACCGGATATGACATGAAGCTAGGAGCTGCGGAGGACTTCGTGTGTGTTTCTTCTTCGCTCTTCGTATTGTTATTGTTATTATTATTATTATTATTATGGGTGACTGGAGTACAACAACAACAACCGCGGCCCTGACTCGCAGACGGAGGGCGACTCTGGCAGCGGCGCGAGCAGTGACTCTGCGGCCGGTGAACGGCAGCTCTGAGGCGGCCTCGGCTAGCGCAGCGGCCGCCGAGCTGAAAGCGAGCGACGGCGTGGGGGACAAGATCCGTGAGCGGTTCCTGGAGCCGCCCACAGAGACGAACAGACGCAGGAATGACATAAGTGACCGACTGAGGTGAGAGGCAACTAAAACTACACATGAACAAGAGTTTGGTTAAACTTTTAGGCGTTTGTTTTGCTAACTTTCTGACACTGAAGCTGCAGCTGCTGACATGTGGGAACAAGGGAGCACTTTTCTCTCTGACAGCTTCAATCATTCAAGCTACTTTATTTCGTTTTGCGTTGTAAAGTCACATGAAAGCCCACGTTTTACAGCTAAAACAACCAATAAGGTGCTGTCCTGTAGGACGTGAAGTGGAGAAACGTCCATGAAGAAGAGCATCTTAAAGGTTGTTTACAGTCATGTATCAGCTCTTCTCTAACAACACTTTGTAATCCAGCAATTTCCAGTCAGGTCATCTGGACAGTTTCTGTTGTTGTTGTTTTGTGTGCTGAAACGTTTCACCTTCCATCCAGAAGACTTCATCAGTCAAGGAAACACAACGCTAAACTGATTCTCCCCCCAAACAGCTTACTCCAAAGTGGAACAAACCAGTTATGTTGGTGCTAAGATGGTGTCTTTGGCACGTCCCCTCCTCCGGTGCCAGCCCTCTTCCTCGTGGACAGTCATGTCAAACTGGTTCAAAACCAACAAAGTCCATGCTCAATAATTCAGGTATACAATCCAACAATTTTCAGTCAGGTCATCTGGACAGTTTGTGTGTTTCCTTGACTGATGAAGCCTTCTGGGTGAAACGTTTCAGCACAAAAAAAAAAAAAAAAAAGAAACTCTCCAGATGACCTGACTGAAAATTGTTGGATTGCTGGATTATTGAGCATGGACTTTGTTGGGTTTGAAACAGTTTGTAATGTGAACACTTCTTTGGCTTTGTGTTGGTGGGGGAAAAGCAAGCCCTGCTGCAGGCTTCTGTAGAACACAGAGGTAATTTAATCATTGAGTCAGGAGTGTTAGAGGAAATAAAACATAATGGCTGAATCTGAATGAAACTCACCGAAAGTAATCACTGACTGAATATCTAAAGCAGATTAACTTTTGTCAGGCCCACTGGATATGGCTGCTATGGTTAATCAACCTTAGCAAACAAATGTGTTATAATACAGTCACATTTACAAATACTGAGCATTAATTTGGTGTGGTAGTAGCTGAAAGTCATCCTCATCCCATACTCTTAAGTGCTAAAAGACTGAGCAAGATTATTAACAATCAAAAAAATACATCATGGCCCTATGTACTAAATTTTACAAAGGAGGTTTAAATGTGTGAACTTGATAATAAATAATTTTCTCTGCAGAAGAAAGAAGAAAGTTGCTGTATTTGAAAAGAGCCACAAACTAGTTTTAAACAACAACGATCTTTGGGTCCTTAGGTGACAATAAATTATTTAAAGAAAATATTTGGTGCCACTTCTTGAAACCAATTATAGTGAACGCTGTTACTTTACTTCAGCCACAAATGCAATTAAAACGTGTATACATAAACAGGAGAGGTTTGACGAAAGTACTCAGCTATATTGACAATCAGTGTGCGCATTTCCTTCAAATTCTGCATACTGACATTTTAAATTATAAATTTGCATTGCTTGAAGAAATGTGTATCCCCCATCATCTTGAAAAATTACTGTAAAAAAAACCCTGTGAAAATCGCTGTAAAACCACTTGGTTGTTGACATGTGCTGCTGACTATCCATGATGCTGATCTCGTGCTGCTGATTATTTCATGTTGCTGCGTTCATTAATCCTCATCGGCTCATACAGACTCATGTTCGTGCTGCTGTTGTTTTTATACCATTAGTGCTTAGTGTATTCTTAGTTCATGACTCGGATCTTACTACTGTTTTTCTTTACAATTTGTATTTTTGTTGGATGTAACTGGGACTCTGTGTACATAGTTTCGTTCCAGCTCATGTACCACATGTGATGTGAATGACAATCAAAATCCTTGTATCCTTGTAGATATATCACTATGGGAATGTTAAAAAACTGTTCTCCACTTCATGATTGTAATGCTTCTTCTTCATGTCTGCAGCTGTCACAAGTTACAGGAGTCCCTCCTGAGTTCAGCCAGTGGCTATAGGAACTATAGAGGAGTCCTCAACTGGTGTGTGGTGATGCTGGTAAGACACACTGTTTGCACACATGAACACCACTTTATTCTTTAACAGGGACAAAACTGGATTTGTTTTCCTTTCTGGATCACGGGGCTCACTGGTGCCCATCCCCAGAAGTCACTGTGTGAGAGGTGGGGGACACCCTGGACAGATCGCAAATCCATCACAGGACAGGGCCACAGAGACGAATAGAACAAACAACCATTCACACTCACACCTAGGGACAATTTAGAGTTACCAATTAGCCTAACATGCATGTTTTTGGTCTGTGGGAGTAAATTGGAGTACAGACATGAACATGCAAACTCCACACAGAAAGGCCCCATGTCTTTGTTCCGGCCTCAGGCCTGGAGGTAATCCTACGACCTTCCTGCTGTGAGGCGACAGCTCTGATCACTGCTTCACTGTGCCGCCCCACACAGGGAGGGAGACAATAAACATTTAAACAAGTGTATACAACTTGGCCAGTAGTCAGTTACGATCATGGTCAAGGTTCTTTATTTGTCATTCGCACTACAACGAAATTGTGTACACAGGGTCCCAGTAACATCCAACAAAAGTATGAATTGTACATGAAAAACAGTAATAAGATCTAAGATATGAACTAAAAAATATGCTAAACTAAGAATACACAAGACACTAGTAGTACAAAAACAATACGCCGAACAACAGCAGCACGAACATGAGTCGGTGTGAGCAGGTGAGTAGGAATGAATACAGCAGCATGAAATGAATCAGCAGCATGAAATAAATCAGCAGCACTGATAGTCAGCAGCACATATAAACAATGAAGTGACATTACAGTGATTTTTTTTTTTCTTCTCACAGTGATAATCCTGATTTTAAAAAACCTAGCAAAAATATAATCAGCCATGTCTGTGCATATGTAATCTTTTTATGATTTATTATTTACTTTATTAATTATTAATTATTTATTTATTTCTTAAGTAGGGAAATAAAACTGCAGCAGCTGCTCCAACCAGCTCCCAGCAGCCCACATTTGTCTGTTTTTAGCAACAATGCTCTTCTTTATATTATTTTAAGGGTTCAGGTTATTTTAAGTTAAATATACATTTATTTACTCAAGTCAAGAATTTGTATGTTTTCATAATTTATTATGTTTTTTTCAATGAAAAAACGCTTATTGACCCAGAATTAAAAGGGAAGTGCTGTATATCGGCCATCAGCAAACAAATATTCAAGTTTTTGTTTAAAAGCTGTTTATTACATCCACTTTGAATGTTCTTGTTATTATTCTGAATTTCATCTCTATTCCAGGCCTTTGATAATTAAATGTAAGTTTTTGCAAACATGAGGAAGTTTGAGTAAAGAAAAATGTTTCTTTACTCAACATGTTTATGTGAAGCCTAGTTCGGGTTTCATGTAGTCTTTGTGTCAGGGAGGAGGAGATAGAACATGAGAGAGGACACAAGAAGATGAAACAACGGAAGCTTTCTGTTAATCTTTTTTTTTTTGTTTGTTTTTGCATTAATTACCTTGTTCATCAGGTGAGGTTTAACTTCAGTCTCAATGACTGAAAATCTGTCCCCTTCTCAGCCTTTGTGAGATATTTCAATCCACTGAAAATGAGCAGGAGTCAGAGGGAGAGATAAAAAATGAAGGATGGTGGATGAGGACAGAGAAGAGACGAGAAAGGATGAGTTAATTAAATTATAAAGACAAAAGTGCCAACAAAATGACCAATAGTAAAAATGAGTATGAATCAGCTACAGTTTTCTCTTTATCTTCTACTTTTTGTTCCAGGTGCTGAGTAATGCTCGCCTCTTCTTAGAAAACATTATAAAGTGAGTATTTTTCTAGAGAATTTATGACCAGTAGTATTAAAAGGTGTGTGAGATTATTATGACACCAGATTCTCATGAATTAATCTAAATAACTTTTTTTTAACACAATGTTGCTACATATTTTCATATGGTTTAGTTACTTTTTAAAAGAGCCACAAGTACAGATGCATTAGTAGTTTAAAATATTGTCCACTTTTCAAAACATTTTTATTTGTATTCATTCATTTTTGTTTATAATGTTTTAAATTGTATTGTGTTTTTGTATATTTCCAGGTATGGCATTCTTGTAGACCCAATTCAGGTGATTTCTTTGTTCTTGAACGACCCCTACAGCTGGCCAGCAGCGTGCCTTTTAATCGGTAAGAAAATATTTTGAACATTTACATTGCTTGAGGCAAATCACATCATAAAGTAACAGAAATGTTGTTAAAAATATATTGTGTTTTTATTTGGTTTGGGTCTAAAGTATATCACTTAAACATGTGACAAATAATACACACCCTTTTGTCAAACTCCGATTTGACAGGCGTCTATTAAGAATAACTTGATCATGGGAATGACCCCTCAGGTCATCTAATTATCATTTCTCTTTTATGTAACTGAAATGCCCTATTTAAGAATGACCTTAAAGGTTATTTTATTATGTACATATACAAACAATAACCTTCCTGTACAGGCCTGATCAAGTGTCTGAGTAGATATATGGGAATGAGCTATGGCACCTGGAGTAATATTAGCTCATTCTTATCTAGATTCAGCACAATCTGTTGGCTTCCTTAGCTGGATAAGTTTTACTAATTGGCTTTTTTATGTATGTGAATGCTTTTGTAAAGTGCCCTGAGACAACTTCTGTTGTGACTTTGCGCTATACTGTATAGGGGGCAGAGGTGGTGTGGAGATAGGGCAGTCGACTTGGGACAAGAAAGTCACGGTTCAAATCCCCGCCATGCCCACATGTCGTGGCGTCATGAACAAGACACATAATCCCTAACTGCTCATCGGGTGCTTACATAGCTGCCCACTGCTCCACCTGGGTGCATCTCAGGTGTGATGGGTTAAATGCAGAGAACTAATTTCGTCATTATACGGGAACATACAATGATAACCACACATAACACTCAACTTATAAATAAACTGAACTGAATTGAACTGAATTGTCAGAGAGACTTTAATCTTTTGTTCTGCCCTCCCACAACCAAGTGAAATATCTTGAGGTTCCTGGATCAGTAAAAGGCCTTAGTTTGAGAAATCATCGTCAAAAGTTTGAGATCCCACACACATTCGTAATCCAATCAAAAAAGAGTGTGGGGTTTCTATTGTAATCATAAATGTTTTTACGATGGTCCGTTTATCGTTTGCTGTTAAAAACCTGATCAGTCTGGTCAAGAGATTCAGGATAAAAACCTCGCTCAAGGACCATCTACTGCTGATTCTTCATCAACTTGGTTTGAATGTTATGCCAAAGCAATAATGTTATTACTTGTGTTTGTTTGTTTGTACTGTTAGCAAAATATCTCATGAACCACTAAAGGAATGTAAACGAATCAATTAGACAGTAATACTGGATGAACATCTACAACTGATTAACTGTTGTCAGTGCCATAAAGCTTCAGCTAATATACCCTTGCCCCCACAAAAAAAAAGTCTACTTGCTATTACAAACTGTGGAGTAAAGTTTTTGGGGTAGTAGCAGCTAGTAATCCTCAACACATACTTTGAGCATTATGATGTGGACTTGGTGGCCATCTTGAATTAAAACAGTCATCAAATCTAGTAGACATTCAAAGAATGCTTGGTATTTAATTTTTTTGTTTGTTTTTCAAACACAACTTTTCTAATAAGGAAATAATCTTTTTTTTTTATTTTATTTTGGTAATATGATGTTCTAAATAAAAATGTCATGAGACAGCATGAGAAAATTAGATTGAACTACTTCATGTGCACTGTGTTGATTAAATATTCAGTTTCAATGCTAACGCTACATCATGGCTGAGGGTTTATCTTGTGTTCAATCAAATTTCTACTGCCACTAATGGTTAACTTCAAACAATATTAAGATATAAAAACAAAGGGAATGATACTAGGAAAACCATTTGACCCTACCCACAGACATGGGTAGAAACACAGGCCTGTATATACACAAACAGAAAATAATAAAGGCAGGCTTTTTGAGCAGAATCAAGCGTGACATCAAGTACATCAAGGTTTCAATAAGGAAATCTGAAAAACACTCGTAATCAATAAATGGTGGGATACATCTTATATACATGTGTATATTTGTTGAAGTTAAACAAATGTATTAAATGTATCAACTTATTCAATTTTGTAAATCATTTCAGATACATTATATGACTATATATTTTTATCATTCAGTTTGTTTTTATTGGAAATAAATAATAAAAAAAGTGATTATGTGGTTTTTAAATATCTGTCTTCCCTAAATGGTGCAGTCTGTTGTAAAACTTCTCTTATTTGAAGACACACGGGTGCATTCTGCAGGCTGCTATAGCTTCTTTCCCTGTTTATTTTTATGGTATGTTGCAATGAAAGTCTGCAGTAATGCAGCTTGCAGTGTCTCTAGTGGGACAATCACCTGCCCTATATACTCGGCAGCACTGGTACCATCCTGCAGAGAGAAGGGAAGAGGAAAATGGGAAGCATCGGAGGGAGGACAGCAGTTGGGGAACCATTTAATGGAAGATTAAATTAGGGGAGTGAATGCGTCCAAAGGGGTTAGGGAGGAGGAAAATGCAGTGTAGATGGAGAGATTAGGTAAAAGTTCTGTATCAAGACAGGGTAAAGAGAAAGAAGGGAAAATAGATGGCGTTAAGGTAAATGATTGCAGAGGTGACGTTTAAGAGACAGGTGAGAATTGGGTCTGTTAGCAGCAGCATGGACAGTAATGGAGCTCATTCCCAAAGGGACGATGAGAAGCCACTGCAGCATCGACGCTCACATTTTAACTCTTGAACACCCTGACACGGTGCATGAGGATGCTTATGAGCAAAATGGGCGACATTTTCGATTCCAACATGAAAAGTTTTTACACTTAGGAAACTGACTTGATTGTGAGCTGTTTTTCAATGTCCTTCTTTTTTTGAGTATCTTAATTAATGGGCATTAATTAAGATAACTGGGTGACTTTGTTGCAGTTTAGGTTTTTCACTCATCTGTTCTTCAGATGGTTGAGTCTCAATGTGTGATGAAGTGTAGCTACTCAATATCTTTCCACAAATTCCACTTCAAAAGATCTTTAAATCCATTCAAAGGTTTATTTGATTAACAAGTTAACCCATTTTTGTGATTGTTCTTGCCAACATTTAACAGTGCTTCATTTTGTTTGCAGTAAAGTCACTTGGTTGTAATTTGATTTGGCGAAATAAGAGACTACACTTGACTTCTCATTGAATGCAGTTATGTTGAAACTTGTGTGACTAAATATTTGGAAATTACTGTGTAGTATATCTTGTCCTTTGCGTATTTAGTAAAAACTTGAGTTTTTGCCAAGTCAAAAGCTATCAGAAATGTAAATAAATGACAAAATCAGCTGCAATAACCTGTATACTAATGGACTTTAATGTAACTACTGTATAATTACCATAATTACTGAAACTTTCAAGAATAGTAAGCGATTATGAATATTAAATTAATTCACGTTTAGGAAAGCTGCTTTAAAGACAGGAATTTATTTATAATGTTGCCTTTAGGGGGAATTTGTTTCTAACTTCTTCAAAATACCTTGTATATCCTGACATCAAACAAATATATCTTCCTAAATCACTAAATTTCATTAGGAGCAGCAGCGCTCAAGATTAGCTGCTCTAATCACGAGATCATGAACCCTTGTAATCAAAATGTTTCGGGCAGTTTGCACATCTGTCCACTGCAGATTAGATGGATTGACTAGTTAATGTCTGATTAGGATCTTAAAATGGAACAATTGCTCCAATTAAGTGTCGTTAATGTGGCTCGGCACAGTCTAGTCGGGGATAATGAGGGGTCTTCCTGTTCATGATTACCTGAAGTTGAATCAGTAGTTATTTGCCTTGCAGTTTAAACTTGAAGACTGACAGGAAAATGAAAAATACTAACCTGAGATTATGCATGCAGATTAACCCTTTTTCAGATACTGATGTAGATTAATGTTTGCAAAATAAACTGAGCACTTATAAGTATTTTTGTACATATTTTGATTAAAAAAAAAAAACGTGTACATCCTTTCGCAAATGTATAGTGATTGCTTAGTAACTACTATTTCATTCTCCCCTTCATAATGAAAAGAAGTGAGACAACCTAACTCTCCAGAGTGGAAATGTAGGGGCATGGATTGGGGGGAATGTTTTCTGTGAAATTTCATTGGCGAAAAAAAATCTAACAAAAATAGAAGAGCTGATGGCCTCTCACTGTCTTTGACAGTGTCCAACGTCTTCATTCTGGTGGGCCTTTATACTGAAAGACAGCTGTCGAAGGTGAGTGGAGAAGCCCTGCTTACTTTTAAACATCAGTTATGATTATTTATAATGACTTGTTTCAATCATTGTGTAAAAATCAGAGCTCACTCAGTCATCAGGGATTTTTTTTTTTTTAACAACGTATTTTTGGCTCGGACAACCAAATCTCACCTCGAGGTTGTCCTTGCAGACAATCAAGTGAAATAGATAAGGATTAAAGTTTTCCGTTGCCATGATGTATTTCTGTCATCTTTAAAAATGAAAGAGATGTGGGGGGAGGGGGGCATATGTTTTGTTGTGTTCTTGGTAAAACCATCTTGTTAAAACCATCTAAGCCAATCTAATAATGATACAGGATTTAAACTGAGGAGCATTAAGCGTAGGACCACTAGACTGAAGAACAGCTTCTACCCTGAAGCTGTTCGACTCATGAATCCCTAATCAGGATTATCACTGTGGGGAAAATAAAATCACTGTAATGCCACTTGATTGTTGATATGTGCTGCTGATCTCATGCTGCTGTGTTCATTCGTCCTCATCTGCTCACACAGGTTCACGTTCGTGCTGCTGCTGTTCAGCGTATTATTGTTTTTGCACTGTTTAGCGTATTCTGAGTTCATACAGTATCTTAGATCTTATTACTGTTTTTCTTTTACAGATTTAATTTATACTTTTGTTGTATGCAACTGGGACCCTATGTGCAAAGTTTCATTCCACCACATGTACCACATGCGATGTGAATGACAATAAAGAACCTTGACCTTGAGGCTAAGGAGAGTGATACCCCTGTAATTGGAGCATATCCTCTGGTCCCCCTTTATGAAGAGGGGAACCACCACCCCAGTCTGCCAATCCAGTAACACTGCCCCCGATGTTCACGTCATGTTGCAAAGGCATGTCAACCAAGACAGCCCCACAACATTCAGAGCCTTAAGGACATCAGGGCGAATCTCATTCACCCCCGGTGCCCTGCCGCCTCGGAGCTTTTTTAAATACCTCAGCGACCTCAGCTACAGTTATGGACAAACCAATCCCGAAGTCCCCCGACTCTGCTTCCTCCATAGAAGACGTGCTGGTGGGATTGAGAAGGTCCGAGAAGTATTCCTACCTCCCAGGGGCGGCTAAGTGGTTAGAGCAGTCATCCTCCAATACGAGAGTTGTGGGTTCGATTCCACCAGCAGTCACATGCCGAAGTGTCCCTGGGCAAGACACTGAACCCCTAAATGCCTCCGATGTGTGTCCCATCGGTGTATGAACATGATAAAGCTCTGATTATTCTTTGTACAGATCTAGTAGAGTGCTGTATGAATGGATAAATGAGGACATAGATTGTTATGTAAAGCGCTTTGAGTATCTTGATCAGATAGAAAAGGATAGGACTCCTTCTTCAGCTTGACAGCCTTCCTAACCCAGGGTGTCCACCACCGAGTTCCTGGATGGCCACCGTGAGAAGCACCGACAACCTTGTGGCCACAGCTCAAGGCAGCCACTTCAACAATTGAGGTGCGGAACATGGTCCACTCAGACTCAGTGTTCCCTGCCTCAGCTGGGATGTGGTTAAAGCTCTCCCGGAGGTGTGAGTTGAAGATCTTTCTGACAGGTTCCTCTGACAGATGTTCCCAGCAAACCCTCAGTACACATCTGGGTCTTCCAGGTCTATCCGGCATCTTCCCCCACCATCTGATCCAACGGTGGTGATCAGTTGACAGTGCAGCTCCTCTCTTCATCCGAGTGTCCAAAACAATTGGCCATTAATCAGATGACACGACTATGAAGTCTTTCATCGATCTATGACCTAGTGCGTCCTGGTGCCAAGTGTAATTATGGACACCCTTATGTTCGAACATGGTGTTCATGATGGACAAACTATGACTAGCACATAAGTCCAACAACAGAACACCGCTCGAGTTTAGATCAGAGAGGCTGTTCCTCCCAATCGCACCCCTCCAGGTCACACTGTCGTTACTCACGTGGGCTTTGAACTCCACCTGTAGAATTAAGTGAGTTGCGAGTGTCTCTCTCGCAAATTATGATGACAAGGAAGAGGATAAGGAGAACGAGGAAGTTTCACTCGAGCAGCTCCTGAAACAGTCTGCCTGCCTCTCAGTAGCTTGGACATTCCAAGCAGTCCACAAGATGCTTGACTGAGTACATTTTTCTATAGTAAACTGTGCATATAGTGCAATATAATTATTAAATTGAAATTTTTAAAAGACGTGTTACCATCTTTGTTGTCAATGTTGTGAAGAACCAAAAATTTGGAGGACAACCAGATTTTGTCGACATGTTTTCCACTGGACAACATGGACATTTTCCTCATGTCTACCCGCTTGGTGATTGTCTGTAATGCTGATTGTGTTGTTTGGTGAAAATGGGAAAAAGAGACTGTTTTTCACTTTATGTTAAAATAATGCTTTTTTTTTGTTTGTTTGTTTTTATCAGGGTTCATTTAGTGAACTTGTTGGATTTCTGGTCCATTGCATTAACTTGACTGTCATGCTAACATTCCCTGCTGCAGTGGTGCTCCTGGTTCCTTCCATGACCCCAGGTAAAATGTTTCTCACCATTAATAAACTATACATAGCTGAGAGAAATCCTTCATTATGAAACATAGCTGAACAATTATTCTCTCATTATAGTTTAGATTAGGGCTATTCAACTGGCGGCCCGTGGCCCACATGTCTTCAGTCCGGTCCATCAATGAGTTAGTTTAAAAAATTATATATTTTTTGGGTTGGGGGGGGGGGGGGGGGTATGGGTTTGGGTTTTGGCTTCTGTTTATTGCTTTTATGATTCAATGCATTAACACAATCTAATTTAAAAGGCAACAGATCGTTGTAAAACTTGGTTTATTTACATAACGACTTTAACGGCTGGATGTCCGCCCCCTGAGCTGCTGCTTTCAGTAACTGTGTCCCCCCTGAGAAGTTTTGTTGAATAGCCCTGATTTAGATGAATAAATCAAGTCCTAACGTCGCTCTCCGGTGAAACTGTCAACAGGTCTGATGGTGCAGTAAGGGATATGTCTTTTACACAGAGTCATAATTGAAGTCGGTTAGCAGTAATGGACCAGTTGGTCGTGACTGGACCGCTTCCAGCTGGCTCTAAAGGGAGGAGGAGATCAAGAGAGGAAAGGAAATGAAATGAAAGAAAAGGACAGAACAGATGAGGAGAGGAGACGAGAGGTGCCAAAGCAGGCGTGATTCTCAGCATAGGTCATCCAGGGGTCTCGTTCTTCTGTCTTAATCAAGCTGTCTGACAGGAACCGTGACTGCTTTCCAAAAACCACTCCCATAAAGAGCTGGGTTTAGTGACACATGATGGGCAAATACACAATATTCTGGGAGGTAATTTCACTATTATTACAGCTGCATGGTTTGTATTAACTGCAGTTATTTAAAAGCATTGACATGTTTTTTTAAATTAAGCCCTCAGTATTCCCAGCAGTGGCTCTCATTTGCATTTATAGGGAACCTTAATCGTCGCTGCAACATTCATTGGTTCACAGTTTTAGTAAATATGATTTTGTTTAATTGTACATATTCAACTTGGATGAACGTGAAATGAACTTAAAACTGTAAAATGTTTTTGTCCAGGTTGCATCTGTATTCAGCCCGCGTCATAGGAACGTTTCATATCGTTAAGTAAATGTTCTGGATGTATCTCTCACTGTTGGTTCAGCGTGACGTTTAGTCTTCAGGCTAGTGCTTCTCCAACGTCACCTGATTCAACCAACAGAAAGTGAGTTTCCTGTCAGACTCGTGTGATCCTTGCATCTTCTCGCCGTTTGGGTGGCGACATACTCGTATGTTTTTCCTCTCATCTGTTCTCTCGCTGGGAGGTGAAGTGAGGGAATCGGCCCATCTGTCTGTTCTCCTTCGTGTGCTGCTGTGCACACAGGAAGGCCAGTGACAGAGGACTGTTGTGTGTGCGCGTGTGTAAAAACAGCTACCACATTCATACATGGTAACAAACGATCTCATTTCATATTTTATTTTTCGAGGTATAGTGTTTTATTTAGGAGAGTAAATTGATAACTACTTCCTGCTGCCTATATTCCATTATTTCCCGTTTGAAACGAGTCAATTAATGAGTCGCTCTCTGCTCTGTAGGATTTTAGAGGTTTGATTCTCGCTTTGATGTTGTGCACATTTCATCTCATCATGGAACATCCGTTGTTGTAAAGTGTCTTATCTAAGTCATTTTGTAAATGTTAAGTAGGATTTGCTTAAACCAAATAAGGAACATCAGACAAACAAACTCGAGGACGCTCTCGGTGAGAAGTGGTCTGTGGTTTGTTTAAAGTGGCCAGAGCTCTTGTTATGCAAACTAAAATGACGCTACTACTAGAAACAAGACTTAAAGTACAACTGCATATATCTTTTTCAGCTATTTTTAGTTTGGAGAGATTTAATTCAAGCTCACAGCTCTGACATGAACTTTAGAAAATGGTTTATATTTGACTCCTATGAAAGGGTGAAAGAGATTTACTGGGGGGTACATGTTGAGTGCTTCACTGCTTAAACACATGTGAAAAACTTTGTCTCTTGCTGCACAGCTCTGAAATTAAACACATAAGTTATCCATCCATCCATTATCTTCCTTTCTGGGTCGCAGGGGTCACTGGTGCCCATATCCAGCAGTCACTACCGGTACATGAGAAGTGGGATACACCCTGGACAGGTCTCCAGTCCATCCCAGGAACAGAGACAAACAACCATTCACTCTCTCATGGGATCATTTAGTCACCAATCAGACTAACATGCATGTTTTTGGTCTGTGGGACGAAACCGGAGTACCCGGAGAAAACCCACGCATGCACGGAGAGAACATGCAAACTCCGCCCAAAATTCGATCCAGCGACCTTCTCACTGAGAGGCAACGGTTCTACCACCCTTCACCACCGTGCCACCCCTTATTCAAGCTCCCAGGTCGTAAATATTTACATTTACATTTAGAGTCGACCCAATTCATGGCTGCCACAGTCAACCTGACAAAACACAGGAATTGTTTTAACTCTGTCAGTTTGACAGATATTGGCCTAAATTCTGGTTTGGTAGAAGTTTAGAACCATCTCCACCACATATTCTGAGCTCTAAGAGATTGCTTAAGATTTTTGTTTAAAAAGTTGCCATTACCTATTTGGAGTTGGCTCTGTCTCTGTCTGTAAGCAAACTATCTTATAAACCATTAAACATATTTTAAATAAAAGTTTCTGGAAATATTGAATGTGTATCTATAAGTGATTACGTTTTGGATCCAAGTGAATTTAAGATGTCTACCAAAGCCAGCTGAACCAACAAAACAAAAAAATGGCTGTAACATAGATTTACAAATGTGCCAACACTTGTGATTGTAGCTTGGACTTTTCCACAACACATAATCAGGGTTCCACTCATTGTGATGTTTTTTGCTTAAAATGGCAATAATTTTTTTAATCAATCAAGTTTGTCTGTTGGTGGAGCTGCAGCCTCTCAGAGAGAAGGTCATCAGATCAAATCCCATCAAGGACCTTTTCTGGGTGGAGTTTGCATGTTCTCTCCGTGTATGTGTGGGTTTTCTCCCAGGTATTCCACTTTCCTCCCACAGACTAAAAACATGCATGTCAGGCTGAATGGTGACTCTAAATTGTCCCTAGGTGTGAGTGAGAGAGTGAATGTTTGTTTGTCTCGTTGTGTCCCTGTGATGGACTGGAGGCCTGTCCAGAGTGTCCCCCGCCTCTCACACAGTCATGGCTGGATATGGGCACCAGTCCACAACTCGGAAAGGAAGATTCAGGTGAAGACAATGGATGGATAGATGTTTGTCTGTTAGCAAAATATCTCCTGTACCTCTAGACTGGCTTTGATAGAACTTTCAGAAAGTACTCGTTGGATGTATAACTACAGCTGATTCACTTTGGGAGTCAGTCCAGTTCAAGATAGCTGTCACAACTAATCGACATTAGCCAACACAAAACATGTGGTTATAACTTTCAGTGTTACAGACACTGAGCTGCAGTTTGTTGTGGTAGTAGCTGAGTCATCTGCAACACATAACTCATGCTGCGACTTGTTGCAGTATCACATTACACTGCTCATGAGGTTATCTTTAGGGTTTGAAAGAAACAACTAGAAGACCGTCGTTTCTCAGTAGGAGACGATCTCAGTGTTAAAGTCTGGCATGAAAAGCAGCAGGTGCGATATATTCCTTCATTGAGTGCTAGGTCTTTATTTATGTATTCTAGGGTTTTTATTCCCCTCTGTTCAACCTGTGACACCTAAACCATGAGCAAGTAGATAATGTGTTGTGCTACATTATTGTTCTGTTAACAAACGCCTCCTCTTCCTCTTCTTGTTGTCAGTTGGTGGTGTGGTTGCACTCGGTACTTACACCATCCTCTTCCTGAAGCTGTACTCGTATAAGGACGTGAACCTCTGGTGCAGAGAGCTGAGCACGGTCAAGGTCAAAAGACTCTCCAGGTCACTGTCTTGTAAGTCGTAGACGCACCTTCGTGCCATACATAATGTAAGTTTTAGCTTGACCGAAAGGGCAAATGAGGTCAAACTGATGGTAGTGATGTATCCTGAGATGAGTGGCTCATTCTGTTAGAGCGACACCCACTGGTGAATGATTCACACTGCAGCTTGTAAAATAGATTTGACCCTTCAGCGTTGAAGAAACAGCACAGAGCTGCGAGGAGATATTGATTATCCAATAAAAACTGCTATATTGCTCAATATGGATGCACTTTGTGTTATAAAATACAAGTTTTCATTTATTTGTTGTTTCATGATGCTGAGTTTCTATCCACAAATGTCCACTACAGGTCCATCACCGCAGCACTTTCGAGGAGGCGAACACAAGGTGTGTTATCCCGGCAACCTCACAATCAGAGGTACACACCCCACTGTTGTTTATTGTAAACTGATTGATTCATGTTCCAAACATCTCCCTTTGCTGTTTTGTCACATTTTCTGAGCTGCTCTCCGTCTCTGCAGACATCTACTACTTTGTCTTTGCGCCGACTCTGTGCTACGAGCTCAACTTCCCTCGCTCGCCCAAAGTTCGCAAGAGTTTCCTGCTGAGGAGACTGTTTGAGATGGTGAGGACACGTCTTGCTGGGATCGATTTTAAGAAAGGGAAAATTAAAAAAAGACTTTATGGCCAGATTCACACATTCAGTTCAGTTGTTTTTTTGTCGTTTGTTTGTTGTGCAAGTTTCCCATAATCATATCTATTATATCATTATATCTTTTTATATATTTTTAATGTATCATGTGTTTTTAGAATGTTTTTTTTTTTGGGTTAGCAAAGCCTTTTATACGTTTTATGACATTTTTAACTTGTGTTGTTTTATTTATGAGCCAGATGTCAAAGGTACATCTTCATTTCATGGAATGTTATGGACAATAAAGTTATGTTGAACTGAAATGAAATATAAAATATATAGTACATTATTATTACGTTTAAAAAAAAAATCCCTTTTGTAATGTAAAAAAGCTTTTCCTAAAAAGTTTTTCTTATTTTTTAAATTTATTTAATTTTTTTTACCTTTTAACCATTTCCACTAAATTTTATTGCTTTAAGTTTATTTTTTTGGTCAAATATATTTTTAATCGTGAGCTTTAATTTATTACTTTCCTCCTAAAGTAAAATATGTTCTTGTCTAAGTGTCTTCTGAAACTACGCCCCTCATCCAGACGTGTGTGTTTTTCTCCTTAGATGTTTTTTATCCAGCTGTTAGTCGGTCTCACCCAACAGGTACAATATTAAAATATATTTTTCAAACTCTTAATTTGCTCAAGTTCAATCTGAGTCAATCCTTTGAAGGTAAACGTGCAGCAGGTGTCTGAACTGTGGCTTAATGCAGTGTTTCCCTTCATGATTCTCAGTGGATGATTCCCATCATTCAAAGCTCCATGAAACCACTAGAAGTAAGATGTCAAAACAAAACTGATGCTCATGAAGAAAATGTAAAATAGTGTGCTGATAGATTTGTTTTTGTTCTTTTCTACTAGGACATGGATCTGTCCAGAATGACTGAGAGACTCTTACGATTAGCCGTAAGTTAAAAATACAACTTAAACTGAAACCTGATTGAAATGGACAGTTCAGATCTTTGAAAGTGGAGTTCTGTGGAAAACCTATGAACAGTTAATATCTTACCTGTTGCATGTAGCTCTTTGAAGGATACAGTTTGCAGAAACTGAGTTTCATTCTGACCAGAGCAACAAGCTACATGCTAACCGGAGCAGAGCCAAAACCAAAGTGGACCCCTGCTGTTTAAAAGCTGCTGCAGTATCTTGAGTTTAGCTCAGATCTTCTGTTCTGGTTTCCAGGTTCCCAATCACTTGCTGTGGCTGATGTTTTTTTACTCCTTCTTCCACTCATCCATGAACTTCACAGCTGAGCTGCTGTGCTTTGGAGACAGGCAGTTTTACAAGGACTGGTGGTGAGTTTGTGTGTCTCTGTGATGTTTGGAGCGTGCACGAGGATGTGCACCGCTCAGAGTGGCTGTTTGTCACAAAATAAAACATTAATATCAGCAGATGTGTATAAAAAATATATTTTTTCTAAATTAGGGTTTAAGTTAGGTTTATGAGACAATAAGTTTGGAAGCTGGCTTTAAATTTAATTGTAAAAATTTAAAACCCCACAATTGCTGATGTTATTAAAAATGTTTCAGTAAATTCTTAAGTTGAAAAATGTGGGTTTTCAAATTTGGAAACGTTTCATGCAAACAGGAACAAACCTGGGAATGTGTAAATGTTTTCCTTTAAAAGGAATATTAAAGATAGTTGAGTAAAACATATATTTGAGTAAAACGCCAGATTTCATGCAACAAGAGGTGCCACGTCATTAAAAAGGTCAACTAAATCACCTGGACATGTTGGTACAGAAGCAAATAGTAACATGTTTAAAGTTTAGTTTGAGTGATTCAACATTTTGTAATGTACTGAAATTTGTTTTGTTTTCATGTGAAAAGAAAGAAAATCATGACAATCACATAAGAATATTTTTTATAGAGTTGCGTACATAAATTTAGATAAGTATTACAACAACAAAAAACTGTTTTTAAACTCATTGTTTTCTTAAAGTGGTGGTGTTGTAACACAGTGATGTCATCATTTGCAAACTATGTCATTAAATTAGTTACTTTCATAAAACTTGGATCAAACTGACAAAAGAAAATGTTTGTCTTTTGTTTGCCAAAGTTTATCTTTTATCTTTTCAGACATGTTAAATGGGATTTGTGTGTGTGCATGTGTATGTGTACGTGGATAGGTGCACATTGGGTATAAACGTATTTGTTTATTTTGTGTGTTCAGTCAAAGCAGATGCAGTTTCTGATGTGGGTTTGTTTTGCAAGGAGTTGTTCAAATGTGCGTGTATGTACGAGTGTATATGTGTAGGTATATATATATA